TGCAGCAGCATCACTTTTGCAAATGTAACAGTGGCAATACTGTTTTGACCGTAAACAAAAAACCGCCTGTAATATCGAGGGAATCTAATGACGTTTCTATGGCGTCATTAACCGGAAGGCGATTTTGAAGTTGGCTGTAAGTAAGCCTTTCGTACTTTGCGGGCGTGAAACTTAGGAACCAGAGAGTTTTGCTTCTTAAAAAGGGTCATATCCGTTATGTGCATAAAAATGTCCTCAAGATGGCTATTTCAGTTCAAAACGCCATACAAATGTGGAACATTCCCTTCAAGGTCTTCAAGATCAATCAAAGAAGTTTTATAAATTTTGTCATATCAGGGCCAGTGTGCAGCGCAGCTTGCCATTATGACACTTATCGTTATGTTTGCCATTCCGCTTTTAAGCACAACATCTTCACAATCAGAGGTGCTTGCAATGCTATTATGCTATCGTTACGCTGGTCCTTATGCGGCATTGCCGGCCCTGCACAGCAGTGGCCGCCAGCATCACAACTTAAGAACCTAACACAGTGACTGGTCCTATCTCTGGCCGCGGTGGGGACGACCAGCTTTGGACCGCTACCGTCGCGATAGGTTCCATGCGTCAGGCACAACACTGCTTTGCACCCCAGCCGTAGGCTGTTGTGTGTAGCCTGACGGCTGCATAACACCTGCCAGGTATATTTTATAGATATAAACAGATGTCACGTGTATTTCTTTTAATAACTCGTAGCACGTTTCACAGCACAGCCCCTGCATCTTGAGGCTATACATAGTATGCATATATATGTGCACACACTATATATATATATATATATATATATATATATATATATATATATATATATATATATATATATATATATATATATATAACTAACCAGAATATTGTTGCACTCAATAGTTCTATCACCAGTCAGTTACCGCATTCACTCCGTGCTCCATCTCAACTATGCAGAAAAGGGATGGCGGCAGCGGGATTCGATCCCACGCCTGGGCATCGCGGCACGTCCGTAGGTCTACGCTTCGCATGATAGCTCGAACACGAGTGCCACGGCGCACACTTTTGATCCCGGAAATCGAAAGAGGGCTGCTCCAGCTTCATTTCTATGCACTTTTTATGCATATATATGTTCAAGATTTAGAAAGCCGGTGGCCTTAAGAAGGGCATTTTGACATGGGAACCGGGTGGCTAATCGTGAAATGTGCGCCGTTGCTGCCATGTTTTTTACTAGACTTTGGACCCCTCTAGTCGGGTCCTAGCTCCCGGCTGACGAGGTGAGCGGTCTGTATGTACCCGTCCTCCCTTTGAGCCGCACGAAACGGCTAAAAGGTTGGTGCCCTACCTTACATACGGCCGACGGCTCGGGACACTTCCCGAGGGCCGCAGTCCTGTCCTACCACCAAGCCCCACGGGAGGCTCAATGGCGATGATCTCCGCTACCGCCCCGGGAGATGTTGTGCATGTAAGATGATATTGTGCTTGTAATAAAGCACTATGACGGGAGGGAATGAGTTAGAGCGGTCCCGAGAATAACATGGAGGGAGTTGTAGTGGTTTCTGACATAACACATTTTACGCATGGTAATACACAAGGCCAAAACCGCGTGGAAACGCACGAAATGAACACGGCTGAAACACACAAACAGGTTTTCGAGAAACGAAGCTTCACATAGGCAGTAGTATAAGCCTTATTCTTCGGAAGAAACAGGGTAATGGAGATACAGTTGGGTTGATATTTCTGCGACATATCTATCTAAACAGGAGCAAAAGCTGTTGTTTAGATAAAGGCATGTTGCAGGAATATCACCCATCTATATCTCCATTCTCCTGGTTGTCCCAGAGGAATAAGGCTAATATTACTGTCTTATCTATGTGAATAATGTTCCTCGCTAATGCACTGAACAACTTACGTAATCGAAGCTCCACTTCATCAGCAGTGACCACTTACGTTTAGCCCCACCATACACGTTATATACGCAAAGTACGCAGCTGAGGGCCCTTTAGCTTGTTAAGCAGTTGGACAGGATGGGATAATTTAAAGCTTCCGGGGATTCAGGTGATCGCAGGCGGACTTTTACCCTATTGTCTTAACTACAGGCCATAGTGATTAGGGGGTCGCCTCTCAGAACGGCACCGTGGCGGGTCCTCTGGAGCCACGGGCTGCAAACCAGGATTATTGGCAAGCCCGAGGGATTCTTGTGCAGACTCAGGGTTCATCCCGAATTGACCGATAGACACGGCATCGCCGAAGGCAAATCCACTGACCCCGATGCACCGCTCATAGCTGGCGGCTGCTGCAGATGAGGCAAGGTCATCTCCCACTACCGCTCTGGTCAGGTCGGCTGCGACACTCAGGCCAGGCCCGTGCGTCACGCGCTGCGCCGCACCTCCAGGCCAAGCGTTTTGGCCAGAGATGCTTAGCATTCAAGTTCCTCTAGATGCTGGAGCATCCGCTCTATGGCAGAGCCTTCAGTGTCACTCACCTGGGGCATAGACCATGTCCAAATGCGCCCACTTAGATTGCTATATCTGGATTTTTCCACTGCCCCATCCAACGTGTCTATTCCATCAGCAATGATCTTCTCTTGTACATGCGGGCAAGGGTTGGAAGAAAGGCATGAAACTGAATCTGGTCACCACCACTGCCCGGGAACGCCACAGCAATCAGCCGCCGCAACTCAATGACGTAGGCGTCGACAGATGACGAAGAGTGGAACCTTAGCTCACAGAGCTTATTGTGTGCACCAAAGGGACATGACCTGACAAAGGAACGGCCAAGTTTAGTCACAGCGCGGTCGTATGCACCTCATAGTTCAGAGACGGCCCTGTCGTATACACCTTGTAGTTTAGCGACGGTCCGATCGTATACACCTCATAGTTCAGCGATGACCCGGTCTTATACGCCTCATAGCTCAGCGACGGCCCGGTCGTATACACCTCGTAGCTCAGCAACGGTCCGGTCGTATACACCTCGTAGTTGATCCCTCGCAGTGAAAAGCCCGGTCGTATGTGCATCCGCCCCCTACAGAAAGGCTTACTGGGAGGGCCTGTCTCCTACCGGGAGGACCTGTCCCCTATTGGGAGGGCCTCAAAAGCATCTCCTGCAGCGCCGGTGAGGCAGAGCGACAAGCAACGCAGTTCATGTTCATCAAAGGCATAGAGCATGAAAAATGATGCTAAAACAGGATGATGAATACAGTTCAGCAAACCATCTGAGAAAAGCACCGGCACCTGAAAATTTTGGTCCATGAAAGAAAATGTGGTGCCTGGAAAACCATCAACAGCTCGTAGAGATGCAACATGGAATTACTCATCTCGCCGTCTGACTTCATACATAAACAACAAATATTAAGAGGAATCACGAAAAATATCAGCAATAAACTCAAGCCAAGTTACTTATTTTATAACTTTGCCAGCACGCCAGCAGCAGGGCAACGATCAAGGGACAGCGCGCCAGCAGCCGGGCAGCGATCCAGGGACAGCGCGCCAGCGGCGTGACAGAGATCCAGGGACGGAGCTCCAGCAGCAGCGACAGAGAGATGAGCATTATCCTTTCCATTTACAGGTTGTGCAGCAGCCGCAAGGGTGGTCGACCGCGGCAGGAAGCCCAGCGGTATGAGACTGCGGACGGTCGCCGCAGCTGGTGACGCAGAAACAGCTTTAGACGACGGTAGACGGGCAGCAGCAGGCAGGACGGCGGTCGCCACAGCAGGCCTCGCCGATACTGCCGCAGCAGCACACAGTGGCAGGCAGCAGACAGTGCGACAACCTGCACCACAGACAGTGCGGATGAACTGAGATTGTTTAGACCTTGAGGGTCACCTGGCTTTCACAAATGGACGTCAGACTCGGCGTCCTTGTGGCGTAACTGACCCTCTAAGGTATCTTCATCGAAATTGAACTCGATGAGAGCTAACTCTCTTAACAGGTTGCCAACGTCACGGACGTAATGCAAAGTGGCTTTATCTCCAGCTGAATGATTTAACCTTGAAGCATTCTGTGTCACCTTGGAGTTAAATGCAATGCTTTTTAAAACAGCCTGGAACATTAGAACGGTATTAACCGCTTTTTTTGTGTACAAAGTCCAGTTCTTCCATCGCACTAAAAGCAACAGAACCTTTAATTTCCGCAACGTGTCATTGTGCTTTTATAGAGCTGCACATACCCACGTAATCTGGATTGGCTTGAAAACCCAGGAGGTCCACAGCATATCAGACCACAACGTATAAGCGAAGACAGAAAGTGATTCATTCCAACGTAGTTACCAGGCTGCGTGACACGATGCAGTCTTTGATGGATGGCTCTGATGGAATAACCATTAAACAAATTGCCTGGCATCACCTTGCAGTCATTGCATGTTAAACACAGCATGGTGCTAGTCGTGCATCGTTTTTTGGAGCATTTTCTGTTCTAAGTACTGGTCTTCTAGCCAGTGGCATAACCTGATCGGTCGAGGAGCTCATTATGAGAGAGAGAAGCAGCGTTGGCTCATGATCAGAAGCAAGGCCCTTTAACAGCGTCAGGAGCACTTCACACGTTAAGGAATGGCATTGCCGCCTTCAGAAGAGCGCTGGGCTCCCGGTCCCGAGGCCGGGACGCCGCGTACAGCTGCACTCGTGCGATGCGCCCCGAACACGCTGTACCTTTTGGTGGCTGTGGGACGAGTCCGGCTTGCTGCAACATCTTGTTATCGTGATGTTAATAATGATAGGTACCGCCGGCTTTTGATTGGACAGGTTGGAGTTACCGTTACCAGCTGCATCGCCCACAGCCATTCCACCCTGGTGCAGTCATTCGTTTCGTGTGCATGTCAAGAAAACACGTCTGACTCGGCTCCAGTCACAAAGGCACGGCACTACCCTTTCTAGGATCGTCTCCGGCCGGCACGAGCGCTGGCGCGGGATTCCCCCGGCACCCATCCCGTCAGACTTGCCCTCGGGCGCGAGCCGCAGCACTTGTCCAGTTCGCTGGCACCGCAGTCAGTCGCGGACGTGGTGAGCACGGCCACGCGAACGCGCCTGCTGCAGCGGACCAGAGTTGGGTCCGGCCATCCGAGCATTCGAGAGCGCCACCGGTCAGCCAGCCAGCAGCCGCCATGGCGATCTCCATGACTAGCGTTAGCAGCCTCCTGCTGGTGAGTTCGGTTCATTTGTTAACTTCTTTAAAGGTACCGTACAAGTTGCAGTGTTAAACACGTAGTTTCACTGATTCATCTTGACTGCAGATACGTTAAAACAATGTTTCAGGTGCATTATGAGCCATAAACTCCACCATCTTTGTGCTTATTATATTGGGAAAGTAGGCGGTGTCGAATGCTTGCGGATATTGATGAGTAGATTCCGTCCGGACAGTTTAAGAGTGTACTCCGTTCTTTTTCATTTTCGGTGGACAGACCTTCCAGTGGTTATCGGATATCGCTTAACTTCCGTTAAGCTCAAAGCCAAACGTCTTTGTTAAACACGTTAGATAAATATAGCGGCGGTTGCATTATGCAATGCGAGCCGTATTTTGGAGTCCTGAAGTGGCAGTAGGACCTCAGCTGCTGATTCGCGTTTTATACCTAATAACGGCAATATCAACAAGCAACAAAAAAAAAGAAGAAACCAGAACAAAACCAATAAACATGTACCACGTGCAGCTTGCAGTCAAAGTTTTTCTCCTCATAAATTCCAACACTTCTCTCAGCCGATTCCTATTTGAGTTTATACAAAGCACCTCAGCTACAGATTGCCACAAACGCAAACAAACGTAAATAGGTCGATGTGCTATCACTATATTTTTGGCGACAATCTTCCCTCGAGTGACTTACAATTGTCCAGATGAACGCGTTTCGCTTGGCGTTCACCTTAACTATACGCCCTGTACTGCCAAGCGTCAAGATCTCGTCAGTCTCTCGACGAAGTATTGTTATCCGAAATGAAGGGACTTCACCTCGGGCTGTTGAATATTTTGCGCGTAAATGAGTGAGAAGTCAGTTGTTTTTTTGTTTTGTTTTTTGTTGTTTTTGTTGTTGTATGATCGAGTGTACACCATGATGGCTAACACACGCACATGGCGCAAACGACTTGAAAATAAAACCACATGCGATGTCACGCGGACATACCCCAAAACTACAAATACGTTTGGTGTTATCAAAATCTCAAACTGACGTAATGAAGTCATGCCATTCAGCACTTTGCTGCTTTTTACTACCTTTTTCTATTGCGTTTTGATTTTTAATGAACTTTGCATGATTTTTTCTCAAAGAAAGTATATAAAGACTCTAAAATTCTAGAGTCTGAAATCAAGCGCGAAATATGGTCTGCCTGTGATATTAAAAATTTGAAGCCAAAACTGGACTAGTATAAAGATAATCCATAGGGCGTGGAACACTCAGCTATCCGGAATGCAGTTGCATTCTCCCGAATGCGACGGTTATAGCGGAAGCCATCCCTCCTCTTCACTCCCCCTCCTCAAAATAAAAGCGTTGCACTAAACTCATTTCTGTTGCTAGAGTTGCAGCCTGATGTTGGATGCTCAGTCATCGAGGGGCTGACACGGCAGGCCTGAGCGCTCGTGCTTCCCATTCCAGGTGTTGACTTTGGCGCTCGGCCCGCCGCAGACCGCGGACGCTGGTCCAGCCGCGGCCGCGACGCACAAGTCCTACTTCCCCGTGGTGGCCACCCCACCCCTGACCCAGGAGCGCAGCAGCGTCTCCAGCGTAGTGCCGTTGAGGGTCAGCTCCGTCCCGCGACCGACGCACGCCTGCGCAGGGAGGCCGGCCACTGTTACTATGACGGCAGTTGGAGTCGCTTGCCCCAGTGGCTATGGTCGCTGTGGAGGTTTTTGCTGTAAAAAGTGGTAATCTCCGGAGCTGCCTGCCGTGGAAACTGACAACGGTCTACTCAGCTGGCGCGCCATTCATGGCTGACACCTGTGTCCTTTGCTGACCCCAGCCGAGACTGCAACACCCAGGAGTCGGCGCAGAGGAGCCAGTCCAGCGCGCGATATCATAATACGCGGGAACGAACACCATCACCAGCTGATAGTGAATCAAGCAACAACAAATCGGACATGTTTTTTACCTTCGCCCCAACGAAGGAATCTTCAGAGGCCTCTCTGGTGTATTGAAAACTTAATAAGCCAGGGCAAATACAACAACGCAGAGGACAGTGTTGGAAAGTTTTCGTCAAGCCGCTTTAAATAGGCATAACTGAAAAGTAGTTGATGTGACATCGACACGTCAAATCAGGTAATAACGGTCAAAATAACACTTCATAGGCCATGTCTCTATCTGAAGAGCTAAACACCCTATGACAATTCAGCAGGTGCCGTTGAATAGCTCTTGAAAACCTTATCAGATGAAAACTGGTAGACACCGGTGCATGTGACTTGTGACATGCCATGTCAGGTCAAAATGGTGGTGGTGGTTGTTATGGGCCGTACCACTTCACAAGAATGAGACACAGCACACTTGGAAAGAAGAGTCTTATCAGGCCTTCTAATACTGGAATTCGTTCCTCATTAAGATTGAAAACTTATGACCTTCAATGCGTCAAATTTGGTCAAAAATTCCAAAATTCTGGCCAAGGTTGGCCGTGGACTATCTAACCTCATTAAGGCCATGATAACAATGTTAAGATACGTCACAGTGACGTGATTACACGGGAAAAAACGTTCAGCTCTTTGGAGTGCATTTCGTGTCAGAAATACGCAATAGTCGCCGCTTTCACGAAAACGTGACTTAGATGCCACTGGAAAAAAAGATCATAGGACACGACGCATCCGCATGTCAGAGGCTTGCAGCTTTTACAACATGTGGTTCACTCATTCAAAACTGTCCTGGGACTGTTCCAAAACAAGCTCTCCTCGTCAGGCGGAGCTAATCCCGGTCGGACGGCGGACGTAGCTCCACATTCCCGATGAGCTATTTGCATGTCGGCCTGCCCCCTTAACGTATAGCGATTGCCGTCACAAAACGATTATGAATGTCAGGCCTGTGTAGCCCTTGAGCTACGCCGCGTTAAATGTTTAAGCCGTCTCCACCTGCTCGCCTTCCTGCGCAGACCTGAGCCCACTTCCCAGCTAAATACAATGTTTTGCTGCCCTGGCCCAGGCACTTGGCCGGTACACCTTGAGGAACCAGCTTACGTGCCTCCAGCAAGGGCATATTCCTCGTTGAGTATCTACCCGAAGCCAGTGACTACGTCCTTTTGACGCCAAATAAACTCGCAGCGTTGAACGAACAGTCTGTCGTCAACTGTATGTGAGCGGGAGCTCATGCAGACCAGCTTACGCAACTCACGCAGACAAGCTTACGCAGCTTACGCAGACAAGAGAGATATACATACGGCGCAGCGATGCTAAACCGGCCCGTACTAGACAGTATTTATCAAAACACGTAATGACCCTGTGGAGAAAGAATTCGGGATAAAGGGGCGAGTTCAAAGCCTTGCAGCCCGGTGGTGTCAAGCCGTTTAACCTGAGGCGAGGTCGTGTTAGGCGAGAATGACCCCAGTTCAAGCGGCAATGACGAAAGGTCGTGAAGTTTTAGTTACAGCTTTCGGAGCTTTCTCTGTCTTAAACTATTAACCCCAGCCAAGGTTTATGGGCACGATGACAAAAACAAAAAAGCATAAAAAACGGTGGCTTATTTCCGCTATCACTTGTAACTCGATGCAATGACGAAACGCCATGTCACGTCTTCAGTCATGACGACGCCGCTCTAAATGGGGAATACCAGCCCGCAGGAACACGTCGGGCTTGGTACATGACGCGGCGTCGGCCAGGGGAAACACGTGCCTCCGCGATGACGAGGCAGATGGGCGCGACACCCGATGACTTTCAGATGAGCTTGAAGCTAATACAGCCGCACCCGGTGACGGCACCTAAGCCAGGGTCGCTGAGCCCCAGTGATTGCAGTTCTTGGTCGACTCACTGAGCTAAGTGCAAGGTGGACTGCAGCCGTTTGAAAGCTCGACGATGAAGAGTCTGTCTGAGCCGTCGCTGAACGACCAGCGAGCAGCAGCGGTCGCGCAGCGGGGCCCCGACCGCGCTGTCCGTCGTCGGGCGCTCGACCGTGTCCTCAGTCGTGACCGCCAGCCAGCAGCCACGACCTTATCGGTGTGCGTCGCCTCCCTCCTTCTGGTGCAGCTAACCCATTGTGAATCACTTTAGATGGGCGTAACCAACGCGTCGGGAAAGGTGATATCGATCAATCCATCACTCAATCATGTATTCTAATAACTCTCCAATGTGGTTATCTTGGCTATGCCTTGCGCTTTATCGGCGTACTCTCAGACATACGTGTGCACACACACACACACACACACACACACACACACACACACACACACACACACACACACACACACAACACACACACACACAACACACACACACAACACACACACACAACACACACACACACACACACACGTACGCACAAATAATGGCAAAGCACTAAAACACATGATGCACTGTCTAACGCCAGTGTGTTGAAGCCATCCCCTAGCTCGCTGTGTAAAGGCATACTGCTGTAAGATGCTAGACATCGCCACCAGGTCATGTCTAACTAATTATTCGTAAACAACCCTCCAGCCTACCATCCGTCACTCGAACCCGCCCTCCATCGCCCCAACCCACCCTCCATTATTCGAACCCACTCTCCATCAGTCGAACCATCCCGTCATCGCTCGAACCCACCTCTTCACTCAAACCCACTATTCATCATCAAAATCATCTTGGCTTGTCAAGTATTGTGGTCCTCTCAGATGGCCTCTTCGTAGTCACTTCAGATAAACACACTGGCGTTATCAAGGTAACAACCTTCTGCTGTTGCCCGCTGATTCATCCATCAGTCGTTTGGTATGCATAACTGCGTTTAAAGACACTTTTCAGTTATTTTGCCGCATGGGGACTGCAATGTCGGTTTTGTTTAACACCAACAGACGTCTGTTTAGAGAAGGCAGCTGCGCTCGAAAACTAGGCATTTAATGGTGGTAAGCCTGAGACAGCTGTGCGGGCAGCGGCAGTGGAGCGCTATCCGCCCGTGAATCATGAATCCAACGGGCAGCAGTGTCTTATCCATACATTAAGCGAATCGTCTTTCTCGATGTACCCCGTAATGAAGTGATTTATTTCCGCGAGATGTTTGCTCATATTGGACACACGATTAACAAGACGTGTGATTAGAAACCCACGACACAAGATAAGAAATTCGCCAATTCTCTTGCCTGAGTTATGTAAAAGTAATCGGGGAACAGCACCTAACGCTGGTCTTGTTCCCAACCATACCCAGATAGGCCGTTTTGCGGTGCTTAGCACTAGTGCATTGATTAGACATCTGCGAAAAAGAAACAAAACAGATAAGGTAAAGGAGGTGATCACGTAACTGCATTCTGTCAGCGGTCCGTTCACACAGATAACAAAACGGATAAGGTAAAGGAGGTAATCACGTATCTGCATTCTGTCAGCGGTCCGTTAACACAGATAATCAAACAGATAAGGTAAAGGAGGTGATCGCGTAACTGCATTCTGTCAGCGGTCCGTTCACACAGATAATGACGATTTAGCTAGATACCACCTCAATCCGTAGCCTAAACAGCAGTGATCCTTCAACATCAGATGGGACCTGTTTCTCTGACCGTGGTGACCTGACCTGGTGACCTGACCCTGACGAGCCCAGCATGTCATGTGGCCCGCTGACGTACCCCGCTGCTCAAAAGGTCAACAATGTGCAGCGTGCAGAGTGCCATGACACCGCCCGAATTCCAGCAAGTCATGGGCTCTCACCAGGAGCTGGAACACGCGCAGCATATCATTAGCGGCTTCACAGATGAGAGCCGTCGGGTATGGGGTGTCTGACAAGTTTTGGTATATAGGGCCGTGAGTTCGGCCAAGTTCGCTAAAATCATAAGCAAAACATTTCCAATGAAAATTGCTCATCATATCAGTTTACGTCTGTGGACCTCGTGATTGACGTTTGTGCCCATGCCAATGTCATATGTGTTTACCATAGGTAAAAGTTTCCACAAACGTGAAGCAAGCCGTTTTTTTTGCGATTCGCAACGGAAAACAAGATAGTTCTGGAAGCCTGGGTACTTCGACGCGAGAGGAACATTTCCAATGTACATAAGGTGTCTGCATGCTCAGCCCACTTCGAGGATGAAGCCTACTACCAATCACATTTGTCAGGTTACACTCGGTTCTTGCTGGCAGACCTTGGCTGCAACACGATGCACTGCTTCAAGAAAATTGCCAATTACTGGTTACTTCACGAAAGGTCACCTCATGTGGTTTCATTAACCAGGGTCCAGTGTTTGTAAGGCAACCAAATGGATGAAGAAACCAGGAACTGGTATTATAAAGACAACTTACTTCACACGCGCCCGGGTGGCCGGGCTTGATACCCTTGGCTCGGGTGGGAGGGGGTGGAGGGGAATTTTAGCCCCTCCCTGAGATCTCAGGAACAAAGAAAGCTAGAGACACCAAATTTACAGGGTGTGTTGACCTGTGCGTTAACTCATTTAGCTATGAGTGTCAGATTCCTAGGCCATGAACTTCGGGTCAAAAAAGGTCAAAGAAGGTTAAGTTCCAGATTGGTATCCAAGGTGCCCCCGGAACCTAGATAACCATTTCTAAGCAAAAGGTCACCCGCTCATTCAAGGTCAGTGACCTGATTTAACCATTTGAAGGTCAAGGTGACCAAAATCATGCAATGTTGCTCTGAGTTTTGCATTTGACTAAGCGACAAAGAGTGCGCTAGGCAGTATGTTCCTGAAACAAAATGTTGACCCGGGTCATTTTAGGTCAGTTACCTGTTCTGACCTCTAAGAAGTGTTTTGGGTCCTAGTAGTTTGGGTCAAAGTGTTTTGGGTCTTAAAAATGGCATATCCGTGAACTGCATGAAAATGTCCTCTAGATGCCCATTTCAGTTCAAAACTCCAAACAAATATAAAAAATCCCTTTAAGCAGCAGACTGCTAGTCCCATTATCGGGCCATGCGTTGAGGTATCAGCCTTTGTACTGAATTGCCAGGCAGTGTTTAATCAGGCATTGTGCACGACACAGTATGTAGCCACACCAGCCCGTGTTCAACGGATCGTGCATCACGGTACCAGACCGAGCGTCACATTGCTAGTCTGAGTGTCTCGTTAGAAGTTCATGTG